GCAATAGATGAATTCCAGAACAGAGTTGGAGAAGACAACGTCGCATTTATTCATGTGGTTCCTCTTTTACATTTACCCGATGATAACCACACTATAATTACGAAACCAGCTTTTGATAGTCATCGATCCATTATTACCAATGGCAGCACACCCGACATGGTATTCGTTCTTATCATTCAAATGGAGATCAATAAGTCGTGAACTCACATTTTAGGATTTGATTTATTTTGCATAGATTGCGTGTGTATGCCAAACGCTCTGACCGATGAGATAAAAGAGAAAATATGTTTTCAACCAACAGAGGTAGGAACACCGCAGATTTATCATTTTAAGCTGATCCGTTATATCATGACAAATACTTTTCGTCTTTTTTCCCTAGGTTATTGCGATTAACCGCGTACCAACTAGTTACCATTTTCCGATGCTGCTTCAACGACAGAAGGTTGCAGAATTTTTAGCAAACGAATTGAAGCTGGATAATATCCAAGTTTCCGAAGAACAAAAAAGAAGTGGTGAACAAGCTATACAAGGATGGAAACGACTTATTGCAAGGTATATATATCATTTGTTTTGATCCAAAATATTGGAGATCACACACGCACACGTGCATACTTTTTGCTGTATTTTGTTTAATAGTCATGATAGTAGTTCACAAACGGTGACAATCGCTCTGGTTAGCAAATATCAACAAAATCTTCATATATTCGTAAACCAATCGCTTGAGCATGCTTGCGTATATTGCGGATATCAATTGGCCGTAAAGGTAAACCTTCTATCCCTTGCATTAACGTCAGGCTTTGGTTCATTTTCATCCCATTAATTATAAATGTTAAACTTCAAATATAGTGGATAGATGGAAGCGATCTCGAGCCAGAAGCTGAAACTGCGTTCCCGACAAGATATCGTGATGCGTGGGATTCCATTGCGAACGCAAACGGAATAATAGTTCCCGACGGTTTTGTTTACCAGGATGTCGAGGGTGCCATAGCTGCTGTACGATATGCTAGAGAGCATGGCGTGCCGTTTTTAGGTATTGGATTAGGCTTCCAAGCTGCTGTCTTAGAATTGCACGCAACGTGTGTAAAACTGCAGGTGAGTAGTGTGCGTCTATTGCAAAACTTTATGTATCGGTTGCACGAGAATAACGAGTTCACATTTGCTCAGGAAATTGATTCAAATTCACAGCAGAGTGTATTTGTGATTGATAAGAATACAGCCTGTGTACAGAGTATTTCGTTTTGTGACGAACATGAGGGATTAAAGTCTAGTGGGTATCTTTCATGCAATCATATGTCATACAGAACGTACCCGAATAATTGCTGAACGTCACGTTTCAATCTATAGGAGAAGCCTACAGGAGTCGACAAATCACAGAGCGTTACCTTACACAGTACAAGATAGCCTCTCCGAAATTTCTACAAACAATAGTGGAGAATGGCATGTTCGTCGTGGCCGGTGATGATTCTAAAACGCGTGTGGACATAGTCGAACTTAAAGGTAATA